ACAGGCTGGTTGATCTCCCAGCCTCAAATCTCTCCCCATTTCAGGCCATCTTCTACTAAGGATGTCACTAAGCTGTCAAATGGATCTTCCTATAGTGCAAGTCTCACAATGTCATCCCGTATTCAGTAATTTTCAGTGGCTTGCTATCACTTCTAGTATCAAATATAAGATACTCTCTCTGGCATTCAAAATCTTTCATACCTTGCCCATCCAAATTTCAAGTCTTCACACACCTTATACTCTTCCACATACTCTGCAATACGTTGGCTGTGACGTCCTTGCTGTTCCTTGAACAAGACTCTGCTCCCAACTCTAGGCATTTTTCCTGCTATCCACTATGCTTGGAATGTTCTGTCTCCTCATATCCAATTTATCTTATATGTAGCTTGTTTGTACATGTTTGTTTGCATGTTGTCCTACATGTTAGACTGTGAACTCCTTAGTAGGAGTGATCATCTTCAATTAATCTCTCCATGTCTTTCCAACTCTCAGTACTTTGAAGTTAATAAGGGACCTTGCTGAGAGAGCCAGTTAAGTCATATCATTCCAAGAGCATTTATAAGTGAGCCAGGAAGGAAGACATCAAATAGATGTTAAATGAAGTAGATCTTCTGTGTTTCTATAGTGATCTTTTTTCCCTGTATTGGATATAACATATGACGAAATGGCAAGGTCCCTTAAAGTGATGAAGTCAGGAAAAAATCTGGGCCTGGCTACATATAGATAGATCGATGTAAAATTATTCTATACATACTTCTATTTATCATTTCTTTCTCTGGATGCAGATAGAATCTTTCTTCATATGTCCTTTCTAGTTTATTTGGGTATTTTTAATAGTCAAAATAATTTATTTGCTCAATCATTCTTAATATCATTGTTACTGTATACAATATTCTCTTGGTTCTGCTCATTTCGTTCTTCATTATTTTTTGCAAGTCTTTCCATGTTTTTTTTTCTAAAAATCATTGAGCTCATCCTTTCTTATAGCACAGTAGTATTCCAACACAATTGTATACCACAACTTGTTCAGCCATTCCCCAGTTGATGAGCATCCCTGAAATTTTCAGTTCTTTACCACCACAGAGAGAGGTGCTATAAACATTTTAGGACATATAGTTTCTTTTCCTTTTCCCCTAATTATCTTTGGAAATAGACCAAGTAGTGGTATTGCTGGTTCAAAGGGTATATAGGTAGTTTAATAACTCTTTGGGCATAATTCCAGATTGCTCTCCAAAATGGTTGGATAAGTTCACAATTCCACCAACAATGAATTAGTGTCCCAACAAAATTTTTTTAATAGAAAAGGTAAAAATCAGTTCTTCTAACAGCACTCTCTTACCCAAGAAAGTGACCAAGAATACTTTAGCAATTACAGACCTACATGTCTACTTCTTCATTTCTATAACATTTTTATGAGAATGTTTTACGTAAGCATTAAGGGTACCCTTAAAAAAACATGAGGGAGGGGGAAGGTTAACCATCAGTTCTCTATGAGCAGAAATCATTTTTATAGTCAAATAACTAACTGAGAGGTTCAGAGAAGGTAAGATCATAACATCCAGATCTATCATCCATCCCTCCGTCTGTCTGTCTTCCTCATCTGACGCAAACAATGAGCTGGGTCAAGAGCTGACTAGGAATAAGAAAGCAGCTCAGATCACGTGCCGTAAATTGCACGGAGCTTCAGTCTTTTCAGTTCCAACCACTTCCCAATGATACCATGTGACTGAAACTTCTGAAGAATCAAAATTGCGGGTGATCCAAAGAGTGGAAAGATGGCATGTGAGAAGCTTCATCAAAGATTTCACCAAGGAAGCCAGTCCTGTAGCAAGAGTGAAGGATAATAAATGGAAATCCCAGGTTGCTTTGATACTGAAAGTTTAAACCAGATGAAGGCTGCCATTTTATTGGCTAGATCTTGAATGGAAAATAGGTGGAAAGAATGACATGGGATTAGAAAGCATGGAGGGATTGTAATATGCATCAGTATGGTTATTAGCTACCTAGTTGAAATCATAAATCCATCAAAGTTTAGCCTAGAGTCGCAAGCTATGTACTTGTAGAGTATTCAGGGAATATCGATAAATACCTAGTTCTTCAGATGTGCAAATTAAACAATTTTAGAAGAGATTTATATTAAAAGCAGGTGTGATTAGCAAGAAGTTTAAATTAATGTTATAAATTTACTCATCTGCACAAATGTATACATGAGAGAGGAGAGAGAGAGAGAGAGAGAGACAGAGAGAGAGAGAGACAAAATATGTGGGTATGTTTGTGTGCGGGTGGTGATATACTGCTTGTATGACTCTGCCTAAGTAATTTTACCTCCCACTGCATCCTAGGCCATCTACAGTCATCCTGATGGCCACTGGATTCAGATGGCTCTGGAGGAGAAGATGAGGCTGGTGACTTTGCACAGCCTTCCTTCAGTCAAATCAAAGTCAAATGCAAGTCATGTCATCATCTCCCTGATGTCATGGTCCTCTTCAAGAACAAAAGACAAACCACACACAACCACACACACACAAGTGACCTACACTGTTAGAGGGAATTTTCTCACTTAGAAGTTCTTATACTGGTGAAATCACAGCTCTAGTACTTATCCATATATATATATGTATGTATATATGTGTGTAAATATGCATATATGCATGCATATGTGTGAATTCATGTGCTAAAATGCTCCAGAACATATTCAGAATATAAAAGGACTTAGTGGTACCAATACTTTTGGTTTTTGCCCAGAGGCCTAACTAATGATGGTCTTTTATCTAAAGGCTTTCTGTTTTTTAATTTTCTAGTTTTCAAAGTTACTTCATATTTTTATCCACATTTAATTCATGAGGGTGTTCCATTACCTGATAGCAACATAATTCAAAAGTGATAAAATACTTTCACAGAGTCACTTAAGTGATCATAATACCGTACACACTTTATAACTTTCAAAGCACTTTCCTCTATTTGGTTTTATTTGAGCCTCACACAGCCCTGTAAGATGGACAGAGTAGGTATTGTTATCATTACCATTTTACAGAAGAGGAAACTGATTGGTTAAATGACATGACCACAGTGACTAGTTAGTAAGTTACAGAATGGTAACATAAATGCAGATTTTCTAGCTTCTAGTCCCATCTTCTTTCTACAAAGAATCTCAGACAGTTTTTATTAACTACGTCTTATTATAATGATGATACCTCACATTCATACAAGTACTCCAAGACTTACCAAGGGCTTTCAGAATAATGTCATGCTTGTGAAGGGAAGCAATAGAATCTAGAAACTCTTCTCTTTGTTTTTGCAATCCATTTTTCTTTTCATTTGCTTTTTTTTTCTTTTTAGCAGCAATGGCTGGTCTACGTTCTTATATTTCTTAGTCTTACCTTAAACTTGATATTAGAAGAACATGCCTGAACCTTCTTTAGATGATGGAAGAACCATTCTGAGGACTGGGGGAGGTATGGTGGCTCAAGATTGTAATTTTGGATAATTACATTGTGAGTAATTGAAGTTTGATTCTATTTTTAAGGACCAAACATAAGGAAACAAATGATGTTTCAGAAATCTGCACACGATCAGTCATTTTAAGTTCTTGATTAAATTGTTATTAACTTGCAAAATAAAATTTAAAAGTACCTAAAGAATTATAAAAACTATTTTCATAATCTTGGCTGCCTTTGCTTTTGTGTGAACAGGATTTCATTTTCAATAGCTATTAGCATGACACCTTTGTTTTGGGTACATTAAAAAATCTAAGCCTTTCAGAAATTTTTAATTGCTGCCCTTTTGGTACATAGCCTCTACCAGAATAGTGTTGATTGTTAGAATAAGTTTGTGTTCTTATCTATTTATGCTGTTTCCTTAAAAAGCCGTTATATTTGGTTCATCATCTGTGTCCCATGTATTTGTAACATATGGTACACACACACCTCCCAGTATTAAAATGAAACTTTTTTCTGGTTAGTTCATTTTTTAAAGGAATCCAACAAGGTGGCACTCTTGAGAGTGGAATGCCTAGCTTGAGTCCCTGGAATGGCATTGAAATCTTCTGAAATGGCCATTCCCTACTTCCATCCTTTTTGCACAAGGATTGGGGGTAGACTTACATTCACTTGGATCCATTTGTGAGTTTTGCTGAAGAAAGTAAATAGGAGAGTTCCCCTAAAGGTAAAACATCTCATCCTTGTACTTCAAGAAGGCCCTCAAAAGGAGACTCCTTCCTAGAGTCCAAAATGACTAAAATTCAAGCAGCTCGTGGCTTCTAGATCCTATGTATCACAAAGATTTACTTAACATTTAACAAGCAAAGCACAGAAAGCTTTCTCTACCAAGCTAAAGAATTAGTCTTTGGCCTCTGGACAGAAGCAGGAAATGCATGTCCTTGTGCCATTATTCAATCCCACATGGCTCGGTGTCTGGCAAGAGTTTGACTTCAGTGTTATTGTTGGTTTTCGAGCTCGACTGCCCCCTGAATGGGATGTCCCTGCAGGAAGGAAGAGCTGCAGGGGTCTGACACAAGCAACCATTTTCATTATTGATCAGTGACAAGGTGGGGCGGGAAGCTCTGTTTCAAGAGGTTCTCATCCCAGGGAACTAAGCAATTGAATATAGAGATACAGGCCTATAAAGAGAAACCCCAATAGAGTGCAAAGGTCCTCCTCCTCCTCCCCCCTTCTCTGGTCCCCTCTCTAGTTTTTCCACAGGCAGGCATGATAAAGTGACTAAAAAGGGTAAAGGAGAACAAATCATTCCTTCTAGGGTAGGCATGCATTTGGCTGTCCTCTCCATAGTTGTTGCTAGTCTTCTCATTTATGTTTAGAAGTTCAATTTTATATTCCTTTTTTTTTCCCCAGACCATACACAGAGATTAGCCACAGTTTATTTAAGCAAACTAAGAAGAGAAAGCCACCAAAATCCATAGTTGTTTTTTTTTTTAATTCTTTCAGGGAGACTTCACTTGGTTATTTTTCTTAAAAATCGTCTTTCCCCTTTCATTGAGGCAGATTTGGAAGTCAAACCAGAAACTTCAGGCTCTACTACGATGGAAAACACTTTGTTGGGGAGAAACGTTTTGAGTCCATCCACGATCTGGTGACTGATGGATTGATTACTCTCTATATTGAAACCAAGGCAGCAGAATATATTGCCAAGATGACGATAAATCCAATTTATGAGCACATAGGATACACCACTTTAAACAGAGAGCCAGCATACAAAAAACACATGCCCGCCCTGAAAGATACACATGATTGGAAAGAGTCTACAGGAGAGGATGGGGTGTCAGAGAAAAGGGTAAGCTACAACGAAGCCGCTCTTTTTTCCTTTTTCCTTTCTTTCAAGAGAGACACTATTATCAGGAGAGGATTTAATTTTTCATTTACGTATAGAACTTTTTTGAAACGGATATGAGGATGAATTTTCCTTGATGTGTTTAGCTATTGTGGTACTGAGGTTCAAATATATAATCCTTGCTTAATTAAAAATTTTTATTTTTTTATAGGGCTACTTTTTAAGTAGTTTCGTGATTAGAAAAAATCTCTTGGTGAGATGACCCCTAGAATAACTTTTGGAGATTATATCATACTGGTCAAGAAGTATAGCTGCTGCCAATAATACCAGAAATGAAAGAGATTATAATATCTACCTGACAACATACTGCTACATTTCCCTCAGTGTGATCTACTTTATAAATAGGTCTGTTCTTTTGCAAGATGTTATAGTTTTGTTTTGCCTTTTTTAAGCACATGACTAAAGTCAGCCTGTTGGAGGCTGATTGAACTATATTTAGCATCTGTTGGAAATAAAGAAACCTAGTTCTTTGCAGACCATGAGCCTCCTTGGGCTCAGTTTCCATGTCTGTAAAATGAGGGCTATGAGCTAGATGGCCTTTGAGGTTTGCTTCAGTTCTAGGCCTGTGCTCCTAGGATTGTATTGTTTTTTCCAATTTAAAAATTTTTGAAGAAAAGTTTAGAATTCTTATGATGTGATTAATATTTCTGTAATTCTGTTGTATTCCATGGCAAGTTAACAGTTAAAAGTTTGAATCCCTCCCATTTAGATTACTTCTACTCCTTTCCCCCAAATAATAGTTTACTCACAGTCTTACAGTCTAAAATATTTAGTTGTTGGGTGGTCATATATATTTTTAATGTACTTTAGCTTAGATTACGTCTTAGATCTGATGTGATTGTGGACTCTGCCTTTAAAACATTATGAAAACAACATAAATGGCCATTTACGCTAAGGTGTTCGTATCATGCGGGATCATAAGCGTGGTTCAAAGGACCCAGCTAGAAAATGTTAATTTTCTAATGAAAATTTCAGTTCTGAGTGTTTTAAGTTATTTTTACCCTGAATGGAATTTTGTATCTACACTATCTCCAAAGTCATTTTAAAATATAGTCTGTGGTATTTATAGTTATCTGGTGCCATGTTGTGTTGTTTGTTGTTGAAGCATTTTTGTTGTTCTCTTACTTGTATGATTCCTTGGTTCCTTCATAGGGCATACGGTTATTTTTCATCTGTTGAATGAAAGACCATTAATGAGACTTTTCCAAAATAGTTACGTGTGTACCTCTGACATTCATGATAACATTTTTTGTAATTGTGCTGGTATTCTAAATGTTACATACTTCAATGTCTCATATATTCATAACTTCACTGTGTGGGTAGTCCTTGAACTGATGCAGATCGCAGCTTTACTAGGTGTGTGACCCTGGGCGAGTCACTTTGCCTCAGTTTCCTCATCTGTAAAATGAGCTGGAGAAGGAAATGGCAAATCTCTCCAAGATCTTTGCCAAGAAAACACCAAAGGGGATCACAAAGAGGCAGACACAATTGAAAAATGACTCAACGGCAACAAAAAAGTTCAAGTTTATATGTTGTTGGGGGTAGGCATGTACATCTCTAACTTGAACATTTTTGTTTTTAAAACTCAAAACTGTCCTCCCATATATTCTGTATTTTTCATTGTCAACAGAATTTATATTGAAATAAATTAGTCATTCAATTCAATACACATTTATTAAGTGCCTACTATGTGCTAAGCTACATGATACTTGGGCACTTCTAGAGCTCATCTGTAATATGACAGTATTAATATATTTTCCATGTCTGAAAGCAGAGGACTAACCCAGAAGATTTTTTGAGGTCCTTCCCAGATCTAGAATCTATTTTTGCACTTAGAGAGGTGGTTAACATTTTGTATTCTCTTGTGTTAAAAGTGAAATAGCTGCCTCGCATCAGTATATTGTCTGTATGAGACTTTCAGAAAAAGGACGGATTGAGTCATTTGGCCTTCATACCTGTAAGAGGAATCAGACCAAGAGAGATGGGAAGGTTTTAAGAATGAAATTCCGGAGATGCAAAGAAATAGTTCTGGTGAGAAGGCAAAGGAGAGTTTAAAAAAAAAAACAAAACAGTCTAGATGCACAGGTTACTAATCAGTGAACTTTTTAATTTAAAAAGGCATGTTCAGAAGGTGGAAGCAAGGGCAGGTAATGGAGAATTAATAAAAAAGATGTGGCATGATTCTATAAGAAGAATATAAGAATTACTGAAGCCTAAAATGAGCTGATTCTGGTAAGGAAAGCTCACCAAAAACAAAAGATTTTTGAAGTTATATAAAGAGTAATAGGAAGAACAAAGAAGAGACGAGGTCATAGAGTTAGTCATGGAAGGAACCTTCAAGATCATCTTATTTTTACAGCTGAGGAAACTGAGACCCATAAAAGTTGGGTGACTTGCCCAAAGGCACACAGTAAGTGGCATAGTCAGAATTTGAACCCAGGTTCTCTGACTCCAGATTGAGCACTCTTTTTCATCATACCATAAATGTCTCCCACTCATGAATGGGATGATGGTAATGAACAACAGAGAGAAGGCAGAACTACTCAACTCTTACTTTACTTCTGATGAACAAAATACTCCATCGCTTGGCTCTGGTCATTCTCTCTGGCTGTCCCCCATACCTCGAACATTCTACCTCCTCCTCTTCAACTACTGACTTCCCACTAAAATCCCACATTCTACAGGAAGCCTTCCCCAACCTCTCTTAATTCCAGTGCCTTCTCTCTGCTAATTATCTCCTATTTATTCTGTTTGTAGTTTGCTTTGCATATATTTGTTTACATGTTGTTCCCCCATTAGATTGTAAGCTCGTTGAGGGTAGGGACGGTTTTGCCTCTTTTTTGCATCCCTTTGCACAGTGCTTGGCACATAGTTTATACTTAATAAATGTTTATTGATTGATTGGCAAGGAAAATTATCCCTGGCCTGGAAGGAACAGGACGAAAATGTCTAATACGTTGTTGATACCCAAGATAAAAGGGGAACTAATAATTCAGCACAGAGCTGCCCTTAATGAGTTCTAGTCTGTTGTCCCAGGTGGATCAGTAGTGTGTGATGTGGCAGCCAGAAAAGCTAATGCAATCATGCGCTTCATGAGAGACATAGCCTCTGGGACTCAGGAAATAATAACTCCATAATGTTGTAGTCAGACTCACAACTAGAGTACTGTATTCAGTTCTGAGCGCCATATTTTGGGAAGGGTATTGACAAGCTGGAAAGCATCCAGAGGATGATTCATGTCGTATGAGGATGGGTTGAGAGACATAGGCATGGTTTAGCCTAATAAAGAGAAGACTTGGAGTGTGGGGGAGGGAAGTTTGTGATAGCTGTTTGGAAGGATTAGTCTTGTTCTGCTGAGCCTCAGGGCGCAGAATTAGGAGTAATGGGTAGAAGCTTCAGAAACAAATTTAGGTTTGATCTAAGAAAAGACTCTCTAATAATAGGAACTTTCCTAAAGTGGAATGGGTGAGGTACTTATCACAGCGCTTCAGGCACTTGTCAGATACTTGGTTGAGGGCATTTTTGTTCAGGTATGGACTGAACCAAGTGGCCTCTGTTGTGCTTTCCAACTCTGAATTCTGTGCTTTTGTATCTGAGAGCTGTAGGAAGCAATTTTATAGACACTATAATGTAGGGAATAAAGAAACAGATTGCTGTACTTGGAGGCAGGATGCCTGGGTTCAACTCCACCTCTGGCAATACTAGCTGCGTCACCCTGGACAAGTCACTTAACCCCTGTATGCCTCGCAGAGCTCCTTGGGACTTGTCTTCTACATCATAGGTAGTTATGACCTTCCTAGGTAGAGGGAGTTCCTTAAGCTTAAAAACACGATAGAGCCTTCACATATTTCTGGTGTCCAGAAATACTTGCAGGACTTTTATAAAGGAGACTTTTTTGTCTACTTCTTTTCACTAAAATTGCCTTTGGCTCGCTTGGTGTCAATTGATAAGGTAAGCTAGTCAGTGACAGGGTTCATAGAAATGCTTGAGATTCTGGACTGGTCCTGGTACTCTCTCTCTCCCCTCTGCTAATTGAACATAAAGAGGATGAAAATGTGGAGTATAAACCTTCTCCCGAAGTACTGTCAGAACTGAGTCCAATGCAGCATCAGACCGCAGCAAATCTCCAGATTTCTGCTTTTTCAAATTTCTAATGCAGTCCGCATCCCATAAGTAATTGGGCCGGATCGGGGAGTCCTAGGCTGCTCCAAATGGGCTTGTACCTGCTCTTCCAAATAAGTGCCTTGATGAGTTTCTTAGCTGTAGATACAGATGTCTCGCTGTCTTTTTTCCCCCAGTACTACATCCACTTTTCTTACTTAACTTGCTTAACTTTACTTAATTGCATGCTTCTTCCAGACAAAGCCTCTTAAAATCTACTTAATTAAAAATAGAGTTTATTTAGCAATGGCATCCAATAGGATAGGGATATTATGACCTTTCTATCAACTTGAAACACTGTTTCCCTGTCACAGAAGATGACATCTGTGTATAAAAATACCTATGCTTAAGTCATGTAAAATACCTTACATTAAAAAGGTATAGTATAATAATTCTCTGTGGGTCTTAATGACTAGGACCTCTCTCCCAACTCAGAGAGGGGAAGTATGTTTAAAGCCTAATTATATTATAATGAAAATAAGAAGTATTGGAATATGAAAGGGTCTTTATAACTGGAAGGGACCTTAGAGGACATCAAGTACCACCCACTCATTTTAGAGGTGAGTAAACTGAGGCACATATTGGTAAGTAACTTGCTCATGGTTGTCACACAGCTAATAAGTATCAGAGATAGGATTTGAACCCATGTCTTTCTGATTCCAAGTCCAGCGTCTTTTCCACTAAGCCATGCTTTAGTGTAATGAGCGCTTCTCTTAAAGTCTAATGCACAGGTTTGATTGTGTCATTCTCCTACTCAGATATCTATCAGAGGCTCCCCAGTA